TTTGATTATAAACCATACTTGTGGTTCTTTTATTAACGCTTTAGACAAGCCCGGTGTGTTGCCGGACAATGTGGCCAGTCACTCTAGTGGAGTCCAATCTTAAAGTAATAAGCGTTGACATTTGGGTGGACACTCAGATTGAGTTTTTTTTTTTTTCGTTTTTCTTGTGGATGCCTGGCCCCTCTCTAGGTTGCATGGCAATGCCCCTGTTTGATTCACTCCACCCCCAAACCAACCCAATGGATTGCAGTTATTTCAAAGGATTCCGTTAGCCATATTATAGATCATCAGTTCTATATCTATTTGATTACTACACGATGAAGACCAAAAAACAAAAGATTACCACGTGATAAAGATGTTACCTTCTTCAAGAGATGAATTTATCAGCTGTATAAGGTGGTCAAACTTCGAGATTGCACCCTAAGGTGGTCGTCCTCAAGGAGTTGGTGCATGAAATATTGGGAAACCGTGATTGCTTGTGGTAGGATGCTCTTTCCATGCCTCTTTCCTTTCCTTCATATCAGCTTTCTACATTGTGCCCTAATGGATCATATAGCAGCATTTTCTACATTTGAAGATACTCGACTGCATCTATGTCAATTGACTGCAACCATCAAGAAGTAAAAATGTTTACTACTTGAGCTTTGAGATTTATATTCCTGTATTCTATGTTCAGTTTTGGTCTTCGTGGAAATCTTCACATCCTAACTAGATGCTAACTAAAAAATCAGAGTATAGTAAACCATCAATGGTAAACAATCTATTCCAAACAATGCCACTAGAAAAGAAGATGCAAAGTCATCTAACCCTGGCCAAGCCCCCCCTCCCCCCAATTGGGTTATCTACGATACCAAAATCTGGTGTCATAGCTCTCCTGAGCTTGGCCATCTACAGCTGAAGAATTTGTCTGCGTAGCTTCGACTCCCATGTCCATGAACCTGTTGAAAGCAGTTCGATCATTGTATCCTCGGATGACACCTAGATCTGAAAACGACAGAAAAGATCACAATGACTACAAAATACTGTCCTGTATAGTGATTCAAGATATTCTAATGAGAACTGGTAACACAAAGTCTATTAGAGAGAGACAGTAATGATAAAACAGGAAGGTATGCCATTCCGGCTGACATTCTGTCAGGCAATATCGCACTCATAGATGCATTTAGACAGCATTGAACATTTGCACTTTGATCTTCATAATCTATTTCTTTCCAGGCAAAGAAGTCAGAAGTAACAATAATGAGATTTACAATAGAGGAAACTGTTCAATATTGTAGGGCTATGTGCTTCAAAACCCATTGATGACTTGAGTGAGAAAAATGACATAATGCAAAGATAGAGCTATACGCACAAGATAGAGCCAATTGGGCTAAGGTCGAGAAAAATGATATCCTATCATTTGACATAAATTTTGGCATCGAAGGTGAATGATGAAATAGGATTCACATAGTCAACCTCAAG